GCTGTCAAGCTATACTATCACTGAATTTGGCTATTAACTTGAAACTACTGTTTCTAAGACTTAAACATATAACAGAATTTGAGAACTAGCAGGATTGATTTATATCCTTTTTAACACTAATATCCTCCAAAGCACACAAGTGGGAGAACTGAAACAGAAGCGGGAGGGCAAAAAGGCCGGAAAAGGTCAATTTGCAGATGTTGCTAAAACAAGTGATTCTTTTCTGGAAAACTGAAGTTAAATGTACTTATTTGCAGAAGTGATAGATATGCTAGTTACCTTTACTTACAGAGATATTGATATTTACACCATTGGAATATAATTTGGAGTATGTCCACCTCTTCATGCCTTTGCAACATCAAAAAGAAGTGATCTTTCATCCATGGTTTTTTCCCCCCCGCTTTCTTAGGAAACCAACCAACCAAACAAACAAAACAACCCCCAAACCCCAAACAAACAAAAAAAGCCAAATGTAAAACTCTAACATACTCCATTTGCTTCAAGCACTGTGGAAGAGCTGCATCAATTTATCTTACTTTCCTCCTCTCTAAATTTGACCTCAAGCCAAAAGAGAGAGTCCTATACTATCATGTATCCATGTATTTGGCAGGCTGATTGATCTAGCTTTTATATGGTTGTATTGATGTCATAAACTCAGTTGAGTTTTTACATTCAGTGTTGAAAAAACTTAAGTTTCAGAAAGCTGAGTAACTCTTAATTATTTTGTTCTAGAGCATTAATGTGCAGTTTACAGCAATTTATTTTAAGTTGAATATGTCAAAAACACTACTATTAGATAGTTGCTTTAAAAGGTCTTCCAGGTACTTATTTAGAAATCATATTTAAATGGTTGACCAATCACTGACAATGTTAATTAAAATGATGACTGATAAGTATAGATAAGTGTTTTAAAATTATTTGCTGTTTTTATGAAGCACTGATACTTACACTCAAATTGGAATTGATGCTCTGTTTTCTTCCTGTAGCCATCTTTTATTCAAAACTTGTATCTATGACATCACATAATTAAGTTACACAATAGACGTTTGGAAAGCACTTCAGATGGAAATGCTTCAGTTAAATACAAGATAACAGTCCTCTTTATCTTTTAATACACTTGGTAAGAAAAAAAAATAATCACTCCTTTACTATCTTTTCCTTTTTGAAACAAAAGCAAGAAATAATAATTTATTCTAAATAACAGTACTTATTTGTAAAACAAAAGCAGTATACACAACAACTCATTGTGCTAAAAACAGTTTGTAGGTGCTTTGTCAGTATTTTTTTTTATTATTATTTTTTAAAACTAATCTACTTAGACCATTCAAAATAATGCAGAGCATCCCACTCAACCTCTGCTAAGACTATCCTGACACAGATGTAAGGCTAAGTACTTAAGATGAGAAAAACCTGAAAAGAACTGTTAAGTTCATAAAGGAAAAGAAGGTGGAGAAATAGTACGGGTTGCAGAAGGTAAAATTAGATGTCCTTATTATTTTTTGCAATAATGCAAAACAAAAGGAAATTGTAAGGTTACATTTAAAGTGGAAAAAAAACACCACTATTTTCCTTAGAAAACAATTTAGCCCTGAAAAAGAAAATCTACAACATCAATGAATTCAGGTGCTTTGAAGGATTAAAAAAAAAAAAAAAAAAAAAAATTTCCAGGGCTTAAGTGCACATCCATAACTAGATTGGATGAGAAACAATGGTAAAATTACGAATACTTGTAAAAGGGTTTTTTACTCTTCATACTGCTTACATTTCTTCTGTAAGCAGACAGAAATTAGAAAAAAAGTACTACAAATAAGGAAAAAAGCAGTTTTTCAGGAAAGGGGGTATCCTTTATCATCTCTGAAATCAGCGTTACCAAACTGAGCAGCAGGACAAGCTGATCGCAAAATATAAATTCTGAAAGTACAATTTAACATGAAATATTTATTTTCATATAGTTAGCATATAGGCTTAGTTAATCATATGCATTTGTATAAAATGTCTTAAAGATACCGGCTATTATTGTCATCAGTAACACCTAATGCAATTTTATCAAAATAAAATACTAGGGCTTACCCACAATTTCTGTCCACAAAGTAATGAAGAGTTAACTACAATAAACCACTACAATGAAATCCAAACATGTAAGATGCATTCTGTTCTCTTAGGTATGTGGCAAAAAAACCCCTTCTTTCAATTATATCAATTCAAGATAAATTTATGCAAAACAAATGGAAATTCCCTTAAGAGCAACAGATACACAATTCAACAGTCTTATAATTGCACTTGTTGATTATAACTGTAAGCGAGGCTGATTACACACTGTTAGCTAAGCAGGCTTGCCAATTCCTTCCAAAATAAAACTAGATCAAATAAAACATGCCCAGAGATACAAAGTACACTGAGAAAAGAGGACTGTGAAGTAAGTATATTTTCAAATTGTTAATTTTTTCTTCTTTATTTAAAACCATTTTAAAGGATTTGAACAGTGAATAGACAAAGGACAGAACAAGTATCTGATCATCATTGCTGAAATGCACCATACAGATGTTCTCTGTGTAGTCAGACTCAAGTAAACTTCATATGAGAAGTTGTTCAAAGGTCAGGTTTTTTCCCCTCAAATATACAGACAGCCCCAGACCTAATGAATTAAAAAGTATTCTCTTCCTAAAAAAACCAAGCCAAAACAAAACAAACAAGCAACAGAAACTAACACCATCTCTCCTGGGTTCATAGCAAAGGTGAATGGGAATCCCATACTGCCAGGAAGTATCTATTAAGTCTTCAGAGGTCTATTATCTTCATTTTGTTATACAGCCTAAGTGCACCAAGATCATGAAAGAGATGAAACGAAGGAATTCAGCCTAGTTCAGAGAAAGAAATCCAGCAGGCGTCAAGGGTGTGAACCTTCTCTTCCATAGTTAAGTAGAAGACAGTAGGAAATAAATAAAATTTAAAAAAAAAAAATTTTAAACCCCCGTCAGCTATGGGAAAGCTAAAAGAGTGGAGAGGACTTTGACTGAGGAGCCCTGCCCACAGGACAGAAAAGATGTTATCTTGCAAATCTTTATGTTGTAGAAAAGCAGAGAACTGGAGAGAACTGAAAGAGAGCCTAAAAATTCAAGCAGAGGAACAAAGTCTTTCTTAGACTGGCAGCAGTAATTCTTCCACAGTACAATTCTGTATCATACCAACACTAGTCCACTCAAAGTAAATTTAATCTCTATATTACATACCACAATGTGTGTAGACATACTGTCTTAATACGTGAGATGCCATATCACCAATGCAGCACCAGTGTACCACATCACAGTGTCACAGCGTGAGGGGAACACTTCAGAGCAATCATCTCTCCGTTTAGCACAGGAGCTGGGCAGTCATTACGTGGGCCTTAGAACAAACCAATCTTGTCTTCCTATGGATTTCTGTACAATGCCTTATAATCACTCTTTTGTCTATTACTACTATGAATGTCTTTCCTGCAATACTTTTAGTTCTCTTTAGTCCCATAATCATGATTCCCCACCCCCAATACCACTATATTAGGTGTAAAAGGAGGGAAAAGAGAGAAAGAAAAAAAAGGGAAGAGGAGATGCAAAGGCTCAGTAAGCAGGAACACCAGGTAAGTCTTCTTTCTGTGTGAACAAGAGCATGACAACAGTCAATTCAATTTACCCAGACAGCTCTAAGAACCTACGTGTTCTTACACATAGGGAAGAAGGGAACTTACAATGAATGACAAAAAGAAAGGAAAAAAAGTTTCTCCCCTACAGAGGTTCTTAATTACTCACAAAATTTAATTTTGGATTATTCACACTCCTAATAGTTTGAGCTAAATTAATCATCTTGGCTTGAGTCGTTCTTAAAGTTCTTCTTAGTCACAGACCAGCAAAACGAAGCCATTAGGTAAATCAAAGCTGCAGCCCAAACATTCCAAATATTTTGAAATGTAATTAAAGCAAACATTTAAGGTTAGGTCAGGATCATACTTGTTTAATCCCATCAGTTTAACCCAGAAGAGTTAAGTATGGTATCTCCTAGTACAAGCATAAAAAGTCTGGAAAGCCCTGTGAGGACAATAAAGTTGTGTTGCATGAGGGGTGAAGTATGTCTAACCCTAATATGAGAGGGTTTAAGTATTTCCTAATACTAAGAAGTATATTGGAAGATGAACCAGCGGTTTATATATAATTACTACTCATGTCCAAAGGGTCATGGGAACACTACTCATTCCCTAAACTGGACCTAAAAGCCCTCTGATACTTTTACATATGTTTTACAGGTGATGTGACACATCACACATGAAAAACCTTGTTTTATGAACAAGTAGGAGAGCAAAATTTTAAGGATTAGAGCACCAGAGAAACACAATGGAATACAGTGATTAATAAAAAAGTTCTACTTTCAAATGAAAAGAAGATGCTAAATATTTCATCAGTACAGGAAGCAAGAGCTTTTGCTTCTCTTCTCTAAAAACTATCCACCAGGAAAGTCTGAGAAAACATACAGTGACTAGTAAGACTAGGAAACTAAACAAACTGAAATAACAGGGTCTTGTGATAATCACAAAATGTGCAGTCAGTAGGTTGCCTGTACATAAGGAAATGACTAATTACTTTACAGTTGTAACTGGCAATTCAATATATTTAAATACAAGAACAAAGTGTCCTAACTACTAAGGTGAAGAACAGCTGTAGAGGCTAAGTTTAAGTGCAAACTGAATTTTCCCTTTTTCTGCAATTAACAGAGAACTTCATGACCCAGTTAATAGGAAAAGCTTGTACAGCTCTTGAGTTCAATACCACGTTTCCCAGCTTTTTACTGTATCAAAAACTACATATTTAACACAGGTAATAAAGCATTAAACAGAGGAAAGGGAATTTATAACAAAAATAGAACATCAATCAAATTGAAATCCCGCAATTCAAAACGTTCAAAACATAAACCATCTTAAACAAAATTATTATGAATATGAGCTGCATAACAAAAACTCAACCATCATTTACCGTGTTTCTGATTGGAATTTTCTTCGGTTCTGGTGGCACATCCTGAGGAACAAATTTCACAGGTTCCTTAATCTGCCTCCTTGATCGTTTGGTCCCATCTGGTAAGGTTTCCATGGCAATATCAGCCTCCATGTCACTGCTACCTGCCTGGTCACACTCTGAGCATTGCCTGCAAAGTGGAACATTTTCTATTTAAAACTACAGTCACAAAACTAGAAGAAACATATTGAAGTGTTTGGGTTTAAAATAAATTCAAAAGTCAAGAAACCCAATGGACACCTAAAAGTCCCTCAAACGTATGATATTTTAAGCAACTAAGCAAAAAACAAGCCAGACTTTCTTATTGCTGTTTTTTTTCCTGACAGTATTTAAACTTTGAAAACCAAGATTTTGAAAGTAGGACTTAATCTTCAAGAAAGATGCACCCTATTTCACCATTTGCATCCTACCATATTCCCATTTTTAATGGTGCCCACTGATCTGTAATCTATTCATTATTGAAACTGCTGCTGCAGTTTAATCTTTACAATGACATGCTGCTGAATTCATTCTGATGAGAGCGCTCTTCAGTGGCAGAGATTTAGAAGAAAAGTCTGTTATGAAAAATCAATTTTATTAGGTACTTTCTAAGGGAGTGGGTTTTAAATCTGAAAAAATAGTTAAGAGACAATTAAAGAGAGAGAAGCTGGAGACGTATATTAACAAACTTTGAACACCGAGTTGAAAAAAAAGCCTGTTGAGTTTTTGAAAAAGTACAAAATCACAATCAGAATTTCAAAAGTGAACAGAATCTAAGGCAATCATAGAATCATAGAATAGTTTGGATTGGAAGGCACCTTTAAAGATCATCTAGTCCAACCCCCCTGCCATAGGCAGGGACATCTTCAACTGGATCAGGTTAATGTTATCAACAAGCTCCATGACAGAATAAACAAGATGGGAAGTCATCAAGTTTTGTTCTCATTTGCAGAAAATACTCATCTTATGTCATTAAGTCATAAAGATGAATGTTAACTAAAAATATGTTAATGAAAACTTAAAAATTATACCCACTCATAAGAGCCGTTTTTTTAATTCTTTCTCACATTACACTTCCAATTCAAAAAACTATAAATCCTTTCAAACAAATTCCAATTCATCACTGTTTCATATTAAAAATGTTCTTTTTATAATACCAACTAAAAAAAAAAAAAAAAAATCAACATTATGTTCTGCTATTAATTGGCATTAACAGGGATACACACACTAAAATTATCTAAACGAAGGAGCAAATTTGCTTTGGAAAGAGACAAACAAAACCCATGTATTTAATTACTTGAAGTTAAATGTTAATACACACTTGTGACCAGAAGGCATACTCATCCCATATTTAAACAAAAGCACAAAGTCAGGTATGTATATTGTGTCTGAGCTGATTTCTTCATATGTACATGTTCAACGGGAATAGTTTTTCCCCTATGAGCTTCAGTAAGGGCTAACACAGTATCAACTAAATCCACTTCCCATGTTTTCTAATTCTTTCAAACTAATCCAAGCAGTATAATCTCAGCTCTCTCCTGGCTATACCAGAAACAACAACAGTCATCATGGTCCACTAACAGACCAGTGGCTACCAAGTCAAAACAGAAGGGATTTAATCCTGGATTGGGTAACTGTTATCAGGGTAATCTTGGCTAAATCAAACCCTTCTCCTTCAATTTTTGCGTATGTAAAATTAAGGTAATTTGGCTACATTAAAACATTATGATGATGAATCACTTATCTCTAAAGCACTTGAGACCACTGGAAATAGGACACATGCAAGTGCCAGAAGTATTTGCTGGTCTAGAAAACCAGAAGTACTACAGGGTAGATTGCAGGAAACATAACAGTCTCCCACATAAGTATGGAGACTTTATTAGTAGCCAAAACACAAGGAAGTCAGTTTATGCAGTTGTTATACTTTGCAAACAGTCTTGGGCCAGCATACAAGTGTGTAATACTGTTCTCCCTCCTTTTTACAAACCTCAATGTGCTACATACACAGTACCTGTTAACATTTCTAGGCCTCTTTAGGACACTAAAATATAAAATCAATAAAAAAATATAACGTATAGTAACTTTCACAAAATGCTACTTTTTACAGTTATATGTCTACATAAATTTGTGTGCATAAACACACGCAAATACGTATACACATGCACTTAAGTAAATAAACAAAAGAACACATACAAAACTACTATTACTGTAAGATTGTATGGAAAAAGGCTCTCCAATGATGTAACAGGAGAAAGAAGCTTTAGAGATAATAGCACTCCCTCAAAATTTTGTGTGTCTGCTTAGCTAAAGGTTACTTTGTGTTCTTTACTTTTATATGATGCATTGTCTTCAAGTTGTCCAACTCAAAACTCTAAGGAGATTTTCTGTTTGGTAAGCGTCAAAGAGCACAGCCCTGCATAATACTGCAGCATCAGTCACATCATTAATTTATGAAACAGAAAGCGCAACTGAAAGTACTTACTGTGATCTGCTTATGCAGATGTAAGCCATAGCTATGAAAGTGTTCAAAAATACTGCGATGAGCAATTCTTACAAAAAAGTTTATTATCTCCATTAGTATGGTAAAAATATGTATAAATTAAAAATTAAGCATTCTACAATTAAAGACCTGCATTAAAAAAAACGAAGTTTTTGTAAGACAAAAAATAGTAGTATGAATTTACAGCAACATTTGGAGTTGGGAACCCAGTCTCTTGGATCTACCACCCTGCACCTATTTAAATCGTTCCTGTTCTTTAGCTCTGCACTGTTAAAAGGGAAAGACGCTGTTTTTCTGCTACATAAGTTCCGACAGTTGTACGGAAACTAACTATGCAGATCAGTAAAGTACTTTAGTTTCATTAGGGCCCTATTTAAGTATAAATAAATGAAGTATTTTAACTTTGATGTTAGTGAGAAAGACAAGAAACATCTCTGTCAACAGATGAAGTACTGCATGCAAGTTCCTGAAATTCCATTTTTATGATCGAGCTTGCTCTGAAACAGGTGGTGCAAGTGTCACAGCAACCAAAATCAGAAAAAAGCTAGACCTACAAAAAGAAAGCTGCAAAACCATAGTATCATGGGTGTGATTGTGAGAATCACAGAACAAAACTTCACAAATACACCGAAGGTGAGGGAAAAAAGGAAAGTTATAAACATGAACTGACAAGCAACCTCTTGATTTACTGGAATAGCCTCTACTATCACAGGCAACCACATCTTATCAACCCTATTATAAAGTAGTCAAGCTTCAACTTTAAAGTAGTTTGGTTGTTAGCTCCCATACAGTCCACAGAAAAGCTATTACAGGCATGCACTCCTCTGACTTTGGAAACAATCTCCTAACTTTCAGCTCCTATAATGGTTTATTTCAACATGGCTTTGAATTTAAAGGACTCTTTCATAATCCAAATATATTCATAGAAAGCAGCCATATGACTCCTCTTCCTTTTGGGTACTAAAGTCATGCTCTTTTAATTTCACCTCTTCAAGGACAATCAGTGCATAGAGAACCTACCACAACAGGTCATCTTTCCAACTGTTCCAACAATCCTTGACTACCTCGAAATTAGCAAGCATTGCCATGCAGCACGAGCAAATTAACAGGAGAAATGGTGCCAAAGATTCAACTTCTGTACACAAGTTTTGTTTTTCTTTTAGTCTGGACTTGCCTAATCTAGACTCACAGAGAAAATCAGTGCCCACGCACTAAAATGTGCCTGTACTAAAAAGTGCTGGAAATGTTTGATTCATCAAGAAATCTCAGTGATTATTTGAAATCTTTTAGTCATATAGAAAGTCTTTGATTAAGTGCTAACAATCTACAGAAGAAAAAAAGTTGCATGGTTTTGTTGTAACTTGGTACAAGAACCAATGGTACCAGAGATACCTTCCCATCTAACAAGAACAGCAAGTGAAAAGGAACACACACTACTAATTTTCAAAAATTATTAATGGTCCAGGCTAACACTGAAACGCTGTTTTTGGATAACTGCATGATGCAAATGTTTCTGCATTGCCTGGTGGTGAATAGATTTTTGAGCATGGGCAGCTTCAAGAAACGTGTGAACCTATAACGGGGCTTTACTTTGTGGCTTCAGTAAGCAGTCAAAGACCAAAGAGCGCTTTCTGATTATGAAGTTTTAGAAACCGATAGCATGAGACCTTTAACCTCGAAATTTACAAAGTGAAAAAGTGAACATCTACATCACTGAGAAAACAAGGAGGGGAGGGATAGTTTGGAGATGGGGTGTTTTTTTGGTGAAGTAGCAATGAAAAAATAGAGAGAAAACCCTGTTACTTCCCAAAAAATTTAGCGCAAGCAATGATATTATGCTGTTTCCTTACGCTGCAGCTTTACACATCAAAAAAATCTAAATGCACTTTAACTGATGGGCCTGACACATGGAAATTGTGAACTGATGATGAGAAAAGCTGAAGAAACACTGAACACCATTCTTTTATAAATGAAAGGTCACAAAGTTGAAGATCTCATAAACCAGGCTCAAAGCCAACATACTGGTAAACTTAACATGAATCTGTTTTTATTTTTGAAGTTTTAGTAACAAAGCAAGCGACATCTTTGCTATACGAGACAGAAAACCAGATAAAAACATATGAAAATATTTTATTGAAAAGATAACACTACAAAAACTAAGAAAAAATTGAGGTTTTGTTCAATTATCGCAGTATAGATGAATTAGACTGCCATAACTGTGTTATGGTACATAGTTTCAGAGTGGCTTGTGTGATGAAAATACAAAGGACTCAGTCTGAACAAGACAGTCATTCTTATAATCACAACTGGGCATTAGGCCAGAAGAGGATTTGGAAGAAACCAGCATCCTCTGCACACAGCGTTTACTGTGAAAAGCATAAATTTAAATCTTCTGTGCTGAGCGAACACCACTACAGTGCTTCCAGAAAACAGTTCTGCAGTCAGTGTTTAAAAAGGAAAACTGTACAGTTACTAGAGTTTGGCTTGTTTTTAATTAGAAGAAAACAGGTCTCATAGACATACTCTGTGATAAATCACTTTTTGCAATGTTAGCAAAGAATTAAACCCCTTTGAATTTGAGAAACATGGACCATAGCTTTAAATGACACCTATGCTCTGGTAATTTGAATAAATGACACATGTTGAATGATGTACTGGAAGTGGAAAAAAGGAGGACTGCTCTTATTCTGGACATAAAAGACAGTATATATGAACCAAAAATAGTTTGTCAAAGAGCTTCAAAGAGCATCTTTCAGACAGTAAAGGTACTGAAAATTTGCCATTTGCAAGGACCCAAACATCCTTCAATTAGGACAAGTGACAAATACATAAAAATTTATATGTTATATGCAATATTATACTGCACTCACACTTATATATATAAGTTAATAATTTTATATCATTATCCAATGACTCAGGATGAAAAAAACAATCAAGATGTGCTGGATCACTACTGAATGAGTGGGGTCAAGAACATGAATGAATGTCCAGATACTGAATGAATGTTCACGGGACTAATGGTCAGGAACTCTACAGCTCATTCTGTCCTACGGCCAATACTCCTCACAGTAGAGTTACCACTAAAATAACTTGGCCTTCCAGAACGAAAATTAAAACCACTAAGCCTAATATGATCACTAGTCCTTGTTTGGTTCATCTCAGTCCCCAGCATTTCATATGCTACCAGAAATTATCACTGTTTTTCAGCAATCTCATTTCAATAGAAAGAGCTAGTCCCTGTTGGTAGCTGCCAAGTATTTTCTTAATGAAAATGTCAGTATTTTACAATCAGATTTTGATTCATTGTATTGCCTGTCAACACTTGTGCATAGCTTTTGTATCAGTTCAGATCATTCTCTACCGGGAAAATACACAGTTCCCAGTCCATTCAGAGCAGGCAGAGGCATAAAGCAAACAAGTTGTCAGAGAGAACGACAAGATTTAATTTTATGATAACATGTGAATCAAAAGGATATTCTAGTGTTTAATCAACAGGATTTCTAAGAAACTGAAAATTTCCAAATTTTAAAATAAAAGTATGCCACAACATTTTACTCTATGATTAGAACTGCTGGTCTACTTTGAAAGCACCACATCAAACAGACAGAAATTAATGCTTTAATGTTTTATTAAGTAAAATAGTTGTTATGCTCTTCCTCTCAAAATAAATCCATTTGAAATGGGGACAGGCTTTGAACTTACTATGTTACAAACAATTTCTTTCTAAAATATTCAAGATGTATAAATGGTACCTTGGAGAAAACTGTCAGGCCTCTGAACAGGGGAAATTCTTAGTATTAAGTGCTTGAAACCAGTTTCTAATAAGCTATGAGACACTGGTGCTCACCAGGTCTAACCTCTTACTATGATTTCACTAAGACTAAAATCATTACCTCCTTTTAATGTCTAGAAACATTGCGATAACTAATTCTAATTTGTGCTTTCTTTAACAAATTAGCTTTTAAATATTAAAAAAATAATTTTTTTTTCCTTACCATTATATGTAATAGTGGATTTAGTTAAACAATTTCAAAATCCTTTTTTATATACTGTAATGTAAATTTCTATTAAATGCTGAGCATGAAATGGACAAAAAGTATAACTATTAACTAATCTACGTAGCATCACACACATAAGCTGACTCACTTAGCATCCTCAAACACAGTATAAAATATGAAGTATATGGAATAAACTCATGCTAAACTACCCAATGTTTAAATAAATATGTATAGATACAGCAGATGACTCTAATCATCAAACCTTTTGCAAAGGCTCAAGTTAGCAATTATGAGTAAACAATTAGCAGTAATAATGGAATAGAAAGTAAAAATTAAGAAACAATTATTTTTAACTGTTTCCTGCTTACTATTTTAGAAGAGGACTAAAGTCAACATTTTTAACCACTTTAAATAGTCTTTCAACCTGCCTAATGTTTCAAGAAATTTCCCACTACACCCATTTTCTTACTTTATCTTTTTGCGTAAGTTCCCATTATATCCTATACAAATATCTGAAAAGTACATGCACCCCATATAAAAAAAAATTGCATTTTTCTTCATAGCTTAATCAAAAGCTTAAAATTGTATTCAAAACAGCAGAGGGGGAAAAACCTGCTG